TTTTTTTTTTTTTTTTTGCAGTCCTGGACATCTAACCTAGGGCCTCAAGTATGCTAGGGCAAAACACTCTATCTCTGAGGCACACCTACAACCCTAAAAAACTATTATAACAGAAGTAAGATATTTAAATATAAATTACCTTAATTTACGTAGTTGTTCTTTTTTTCTTTTTAGTACCAGGGAGCAACTCAGGACCTCACACTTGCCAGGCAGGAGCTGTGCCACTAAGCTACCTGCATATAGATTTTCTATTTAAAATGCCACTTGGTGTGCCTCTTTAAAGAAAGAGCCAGCTGGAGGAGTAATGGTGCATGCCAGTAATCCCAGCACCTGGGAGGATGAGGCAGGAGGATCACCGTGAGTTTGAGGCCAGACTGGGCTACATAATGAGTTCAAAGCCAGCCTGGACTACATAGTGAGACCCTGTCTTTAAAAAAAAAAAAAAAGAACCAGACATTTATTTGTAGACCATTGGCACTGCAACTTAATCTTGGATTTTCCTTCCCCTTAAAAGGGTCTTTGAAAGCCTCTTGTCTGAGTAGGCTTCAGAACCTATAACCACATACTGGCCGTTTGTAGCTGTGGCATCAAAACCAGCAGCAATCTATGACTCACTGAAAGGGCTCTCTGCTGAGGGCTGGTCATAAACTGGGAAAACTAGAATATTTTGACCTATTTTTCTCTCTACACATTCTAAGAATTGCTTTTCTGGGTAAGGACATATTTGCCCTAGGACCATCAATTCTTTCCCTCAGTAATTGCTATTCTTCTTTGATCCACCTCCCCTCCTCTATAATGCCAGGTCTTTGGCATACAAGCTTTCATTACTACAAGTCCTGTGGTTTTTGTCACTTCTACAACCTTCATCTCGAAAAGGCTTTTCGTGAGGGAGCAGGGTGTAGCTCAGTGGCAAAGCACTTGCCTAGAATGTGCAAGGCCCTGGGTTTGATCCCCAGCACTGCAAAATAAACAGATAAACAAGGGGTCTTTTCTCAGTATACATGATTCACAAAACATACAAACTGTGACCTACATCCCTGATTTTATATATACAGTATATATGCTTTCCCTAGTGCCTGGTACATGCTAACCATGTGCTCTACCACAGAGACACCCCCAGCCACTCCTAGTTACATTTATGTCCCAGTGAATACCTACCTGCCACTCCTTTTCCCAGTATCCTTCTCCAGGACAGTCCACTCAGCCTTTCACAGGGCAAGGACATCCTCAATCCCTGGGTCAAGAAAGTCCCTGGAAAGCTGTGACCGGGGAACACTAGACAAACACAAGTATTTCCTTCCGCTGCTACTTAACTATAACCCTTGGCAATATCTTGGAATGCAATAATGAGAACATGCAAAGAATGTGCCTTTATAATTGTGTTCTTGTGGCAAATCTAACATATTAATATTCAAAGAGATGGGAAGTGAAGGGTAGAAAAGCCAGATCCTCACTGGGAGAATTGTGATCTTAATTACACAGGGCTTTTGTGAAATCTATTCCCAGTTAGGCAAGAAGAAAAGTTGTACTCAGGATAGCTGCTGAATAAGACAGGGATCCATCCCCAGGGGAGTCATCTCCAATTAGGCAAAGACAAGATCAGGTGGACTACAGAAAAGGTAATACCTCCACCACCTTTGCATTTTAGGGCCCAAGATCTTGCTGCTGGATAACTAAAAGTTGTATTCTTTTCTTTTCTTTTTCTTTTTTGGTATCAGGGATCAAACTTGGATCCTTGTGCTTGCAAGACAAGCACGGTAGAACAACTGAGCTAAATCCCTGGCTAGAAATTATATTCTTAACACCACTGGGTATTGCACTTTCTGGAGAAATCCTGAAAGAAGACAAGCACAGACACAGTGATCCAGATAAGGACAAAGTAGTTTTCGTTTTTCTAGCTTTCCTGCCATGCAAGGGCTCTGTCAGTGCAATGTAAGTCCACAGAGAAAAAGCAGCACAGAACTGCAGGCTCCCTACATATATTTGTATATATACAAACTTATATTTGAGATATTTTTCCTCAAATTAGAGCAGTTCTATGCTTAGCAGGAGGAAAACCCATTTTTAAGCAAGTGAGGACACACTGCAAGTGTTAAAGATGACAATGGATATAAACTGTTCTGGAAAGCCTCACAATAATAAATGGGTCTAGAAGAGCTTAGTTCAGTAATTTCAACTCTGGTCCCTAGGGTTGCTTCAACATCGGGGCCTTCTCTCATTCTGTCTGCCCAAGTTCATACCTCCAGTCCATAAGACTCTGGAGAAGAAGTCAGGTCCCTGCTGAGGCAGTGGGGGTCCCTTTACAATGTTAGCTTTCCCTAGCAACCTGACACAAGGCAAGAAATAGGACCTGTCTCCCAGAGCCCTGCTTCCCTAAATGCCCCGGTCAATCCCTTCTGACTGACCTGATCCCCTTAATACTCTGGTCTCCCAGCTGCTTCCCACTCTCTGCTGTCCTTTTGAGTGCAGTGGCAGAGCCTTCCAAAACATCTGAGCTTTTTTCATTTACTGAGATTCAAGATTCATCTCACTTTATGTCTTTTCTTATTGTGGAGCGGGTTGAGACAGAGTCTCACTATGTTGTTCAGACTGGCCTTGAACTCATGAAGTAGCCCAGGCTGGACTTAATTTTGTGGCACTCATCCTGCCTCAGCCTCCCAAGTAGGATTACAGGAGTGCACCACCATGCCCAATCCACCCTATTTCTTGGGTGCAGATTCCCAAAGATTCCTAGCAAGTTAGGCTCTTTATTGAGAAATAAGTGGACAGGAAAACTGGCTTAACTACAAATATACACATAGAAAGCCTCAACTATGATGAAGAGATGGAGATATATATATCTCCATCCTGATACACTGTTTGCTTGAGACAGGGTCTTGATATGTAATTCAGAGTGCCTTTGCCTCAAGTTCATAGCAACCCTCCTGCCTCGGCCTTCTGAGTGCTGGGATTACAGGCATGTGCCACCATGCCCAGCTTTATCCTGACACACTCTTTGTAAAATGAAAAGATCATTAAATCAAATCAATACAGGAGGGGCACGGCATTGCAGTTGAGCTTTCTGGCCTATTCCTATAAATCACAGCACTCCAGAGATTGAGGATTTTGAGTTTGGGGCCAGCCTGGAGTAATACAAGTAGGGCAAGTAGTACAAGCAGGGAGTAGTAGCAAGATCCTGTCTCAAAGCAAACAACCGTAACAATTAAAAATGCACTTGGCCAGGGATTTAGCTCAGCGGTTCAGTGGCCTGCCTTGCAAGTGCAAGGACCCAAGTTCAATCCGCGGTACAAAAAAAAAAAAAAAAAAAAA